AAAGACTCTCGTTTCGCCGGCGGCTGTCTCTCTCTCTCTCACTTTCTTGATCTCTCTCTCTCTCTCTCTTTCTCTTGGGGGAATACTTTCAATTTAGACGAACCGTAAACAATATGCTGTGTAAAATACTCGGTATTCTTAAAATAAATTTACCTCTTTCACATTGTTCCTTTTAAAGTAAGTCGGCCGGAAAAGTTGGATGTTGGCCAGTTACAATACAATACAGACAGAATCCTGGAAAACTGTTTTTGTTTGTAAGACGTCAAAAAAGTTTTACTCGCTATATGTTCATTTGTCTTGCATCCAAATTTTAGTTAATTCTACTTAAAAGAGTGTTTATATATAGTTAAAGAGTGTATTTTTGCGCCCAACAAAGAAATATATAAAAGTTTATACAATAATTATAAGAAATAGAACATCTAATGTCTGACTAAATTCGGTTTTTACTACTAGTTACAATCTTACACTTTTTTAAATTACAACTTTGAGGAATTTTCAATAATATCAATCTAAACGTTTTTAATATAAATGAGAAGAAATGAAACAGTAAATGTCTGACTAAATGCGGGTTTTACTACTGAAAATATTACAAATTATCACGTCTGACTAAAGTCGTTTTTTACTACTAATTAAAATCAAAATCCGTCTCGTGGAATTTTAAAAAAACATATGTAAAATAGAGTAATTACAACAAGTGAAAATGCATGTCTGAATAAAGATGGTTTTTACTACTGATTTTTATTTTTATTTTCTAAAACAATATAATAAACCGTGTATAAAATTAAACACAAAAAGTTAATTGGCACAAAAAAGTAGTTAAAAATTGTTTTTCACTTCAATAAAAATGGTGTCTGACTAAAAACGGTTTTTACTACTAGTTACAATCTTAAACTCTTTTTTAAATTACGACTTTGAGGAATTTTCAATAATATCAATGTAAACGATTTTAATATAAATGAGAAGAAATGAAACAGTAAATGTCTGACTAAATGCGGGTTTTACTACTGAAAATATTACAAATTATCACGTCTGACTACAGTCGGTTTTACTACTAATTAAAATCAAAATCCGACTCGGGGAATTGTAAAAAAACATATGTAAAATAGAGTAATTACAGCAAGTGAAAATGCATGTCTGACTCAAGGTGGTTTTTACTACTGATTTTTATTTTTATTACCTAAAACAATATAATAAACCATGTATCAAATTATAAACAAAAAGTTAATTAATACAAAAAAGTAGTTAAAAATTGTTTTTCACTTCAATAAAAATTAGGATGTTTGACTAAAAACCGTTTTTACTACTGATTATATAATTTTTCAGTTCTTTAAAAATAGAAAAAAGAAAAGAAGTAAAATTTTATAGTTCTCGCAGTATTACAAATCAAATTTATCATGTCTCACTAAAGTCGGTTTTTACTACAAATTTAATCCAACTAATTTAAATCTACTTTTTTAAAAAACCATAGGTCAAAGAATAAAAAAATATAGAAACACAAAATCGTTAATAATTTTTTACGTCTGACTAAAAATATCAAACCAAAGTCGAAATTTAGGAATTTCAATTTTTCTTGATGTCTTACAAAAACAGTAATAGTATAAATTTTAGTAGAAAAGATCAGTTTTAGTCAGACATGACTAAATTATTTTATCATTCAGATTTCAGTTTTGAATTTATAAAAAAGAAATTAATATATAGAACTTTGTCATTTCCCGTAATTTTTTTTGTACAATATAATATATATATAAAGAGATGGATATTGAGAAGGGATTTTCTTGAAATTATTCCAAAGTTTTGTCCAATTCGGTATAAACAAACTGAAGTTGAACTTTGATCCTTATTGCGAATACAATAGCGACTCATTCTACTTCGGCATAAACTTTTCCCATTTACTCTCTTATCGAAAGTCGCTATATATATATATATATATATATATATATACGTACGTTCAGTTATTACTTTTCTGAAAGTGCCGCTGTCAAAAGGAGGCTGAGGGACAAATCGCTTATACGGCTGGACAAAGATTTTACTACTTAATGTTCTATCAGCAATATAAGTATGAACATAAACTTCCTCTATAAATGCTTCTAAATGTCACCTTTATATTCTCAGTTACACCACAAAAAAAAAACACGAAAAACCATATACAAAAAAACTCTTTTAATTTTCAATTTTTTTTTTTTTTTATTTTAAAATCATCATCGATAAAAAATAAACCTAATTTTTTTTTTTAAACAAACTTTTAAAAACAAAAATCTAGAAAAACATTCTAATTCTCGAAAATGAAGGAGTGGATTTTAAAAAGGGGAGAATTTTTTTTTTTTTTTTTTTTTGCGGGTTAAAATTAAGGAGAGCTTAGTAGACTAAAGGCAAACTGAAAGTTTTGGTGAGTGTTTCTAGGATTCGAGTATATACACCTCTCAACACATACAAAGTCCTTTTGCGTATCGCGTAATGAACTCGCGTTTAACTCGAGACCCGTACTCGCCCTCACTACACTGCTAGAAAGTACTGGATCCATTACGCTTTCTCGCGACTAATTACTCACAGATGGAGGGATGGGGGTGTGGGGAGAAAAAAAGCTAATTAGTGAAAACCCAGACTTCACGACGCTTCCTCTGACCAATGCAAACCCCCCCCCCCCACCACCCCTCTCACAGTATGTCCCTACAGCAAGAAATCCCTGTCCGTCGCTTTAAGCCATAGCCGCATGTAACTCTCATTTGCATTTAAATAATATTGTATATATATAACGACATCAAAATCACTATTTCAGATTAATAATTATATTTTACTAGATAACTGCTGCTAACTTAATTATTATTGTATAAACTAATTGGAAATTATCGGACATAATTATATTAATATAATAGTTAATATAATATATATGAAAATATATATGAGTCATTTTCCAAAAAAAAAACTATGGAAAAAATTTCTAAAATATTAAATCATTTTAAAAAAATTATAGAAAGTAGAAAAAAATTTTTTTTTATTTTTACATTGAAAATTGAATGAATTTAAAATAATATAATAATATTAAATAATAATATAACAAAACATTAATGTAATTTTCATTCAAGTTTAATGTTTAATTAGTTGAATGGAAAACAAAAGCAATTCAATTGCTTTGATAAAATATTTCCATGTATGTAATTTATTAACCATTATCGCAATTGTGAATTAATTTCAATTATTTAAATATATTATAGTTGGTATAAATTTTATAAAAATTCTTTTATATTCATTTTTCATACAAAAAAGGTTATTATATATTTTTCATAACTTGTCTGTCAAATGCAATTCGCTCAGTCTGAAATGTGTAAGTTTTTATAAAATAATGAAATTTTAATCACTTCTCAAAAAAAAAGGGAAAAAAGTAGAACCATTCATTTTTTATCTCTTACTCATCTTTATTTTTTCGTTAAGAAGACATTTAAGGGTCATTTTTTTTATTTGTAATAAAAAAAAATTGTTTAAAAATGTAAAAAATATTTTTTTATTTAATTCTGTTTTAGAATAAAAAAGAAATTTCGTTTCCTCCATAAAAATCCCTCTGATAAATTTTCTACTATTATTGACTCATAATACAAATCGAATTGAATAATATCTTTTTAAAAATCACGTTGTCAAATAAAAAAACCCTTTACACATTTTTTTTTTCACCCGAAACCTTGAAAGAATGTACGCAGTAAAAAAAAAAAAAGGTTCAAATTTATAGGTTGACACAATTTTTACCGTCTATTTCTCATTTTTTATTTTTTCTCTTTGCCAAGGAAAAAAAAGCGATGGAATATATTTGTAATTTTTTTCACTCTTTTTTTTGAGAGAGTCGGAGAGGGGTGCTTTAAAAATAAATCAATCTTTTTTTAATCATGTGAACTGTTAAACTCTGATATTGGAAGAATTTCAATAGCCTTCAGGGAAAGTTTGGGAGGGGGGGGGGAGATGATAATGTAAGGTAAAATAAATCATTTTGAAGAGAGAAAATGCCCACGTATATATAAAAGGTCCAGTTTATTTTCCTCAAGAGTTTATTTTCTCAATGAAATCAAACCAGATTTCAAATAAAATTTCTTTCTTACATTGTTTAAATTCTTTCTTTGATCTTAATCATTTTGCTGCTATATTTTATATATCTATATATATATATACTTGAAAATTGTAGTGAGAAAATTGTTCATGCATATTTAGAAGTCTTTAAAATGCAAAAGAGTACATAAAACATTTACACGTACTTTAAACTTTTCAATTCATCCTCGTTGTTTTTTTTTTTAATGTCCAAAATGATTTATTGACTGAAACGTTCATTTAAAGTGGATAAAACAATGTGGCCTTTTTATACAATTTTTTATCATTCCTTTTTTTTTATTTATTTTGTTAAAAGATATTATTTATGTTTTTACCCAAATTTGGATTTACTTTCACAATTCTGAAATATTTTACAAATTTTTGATTTTTATTTATCATTAAAAGAATGTTATTTTGATAATTTAATTTGTACATTGTTGAAAATTTGTTCGAACATGTTTTTTTCTAATACAAACAAACCAGTATAAGATAGGTAAATAAACACAAATACGATCACCGTAAAGTTTTATTGACCTAGTACTGTTTACATGAGCCTCACCAATCACGGCCTAATTCGCATGTGATTAAAGCGCCGTGTCGGTACGGAAACGTCAATAATCCAGTAACTATAGCTGCGTTTGCGGAATTCAATAGGAAAAGGAGTGCAAGTTACTGTTTGCTGAGGTTACATGTTGGTTAAAACGGATCTCACGAACGCGAAAAGGGGTGGGGGGGAGTTGGGGAAAAGGGTACTCAAGGGGAGGAGGGTCCCTAGAATTGTCATTTGCTGCAATTGCAATTTCTCGCTGACGCGTGTGCAACTGGCGCACTAGTTGTAGTTTTACCACCCGCTAAAACTAACGACTGACTAATGATGCCACACACTAGAAACTAATGTGTCCCTTCTGTTCTCATTTTCCTTGCTCTAGGTGTAAGATGCCTGAAGAACGTCACCTTGGAAGTGATTCCTGAGATAATTGAAAATGGTCACGAGGCAATTTTACGCTGTCATTATGAACCAGAAAATACACCACTTTTCACACTGAAATGGTATCGAGGGAATTACGAATTCTACAGATATCAACCAAATGAAAATCAAAAAATGATTGCATTCGAACATCCACATATTCAAATTGATGTAAGTATTCACATTTTTTTTTTTACTTTATATTTTTTATTCTAAAATTCTTTTTAATTTTGAAGAATTATATCATTTTTATCAAAATCAGATAACTGCTAATTTAAGATAAAATTATTTTATTATTCTCTTCTGTGGGCGGAAAGCTTCGGTCTTATAGAATGTAGAACGTAAATTGCGAGAGAAAAACGAAGCAACGCACTCTTGCGGTGCAAATACGAACTAAAAAAGCACTCTCTATCACTTAAATTCTATAAGAATTGAAGGTTCAACGTACAGAAAAGGATAAAAAATAACTTTTGGGTTTATTTACACAAATCAATTTAGCTTCAAATTTAAAAAAAAAATTAAATTATATTTAAAAGAATATCTATAATTGCAAAAGAAAAATCTTCATTCGAAAATTCAATAAACTTCATTTAGATATGAATAACAAAAAAAAAAAAGAATAAATGAATAATGAAAACCATTTTGAAACATTGATTCTGATAAGACGTAAATAAAAAATGTTACGATTTCTAAGCGAACGGAAAACGTGTGTTTCTGCTAAAACTGGAGATCATAAAATTTACTCGAATCGAATATGTACTTTCTCACCTTTCTCGTTCAACTGTATACATATAAATATACACCAATATTGTCGAGTGCATTTGAAACAACGTATATATCGCAAATGATGAAAATGTAAAAAAGAAAGAATACATTTGGCTCCTAAAGCCGCGTTTATATTTATTATATCCATGTAAAAAAAAGAAAACAAATACAGAATGCATACGCGCTGAATTTATATATTTTTGAGCCGAAACAAAAGTTCATAATATGAAAATTGAAATTAATCAAGTATGTTTATTTTCAAACACATATATACAAAAAAAAACACAAAACATCTAAAATTTTGCAATTTGTTGTGTCTCGCGAACCGAAAACCGTCGTGTAATTGGACAGTTAACCCGTTTAATCATGTGTTTTCCATCAGTGTATCGAATTTGATATATACCGCGCGTGTGGCATAGCGTAAAGCCATTTATTTTATCCACATTCTCTGATTGCTTTTCCATGAGAAATACGAGAAGCATTCGCTCTCTTTCATATCCGCGTATTCAAAATGACATTTTACAGTGCCAGAGTTAGAGAGAGAGAGAGAGAGAGAAAGAGAGGGGAGAACAAGTGAAACGCAGTTTATTTCGTAAGGACGGTTTTCTGCAAATTGCTTTCATATTGATTTTATTATTGATATTCAGTCAAAACAAAATCTATTTCAGATTACATTTCCATTTTCTTCGAAACAAGCTTTCAGATAATGGCGATTGTATCAGAGAAAATATAATAAATATTTTCACTTCGACTCAACTAATATTTATATAGATATATATATATATATATATATATATATATATATATATATATATATATATATATATATATATATATATATATATATATATATATATTTCTGACAATTGATGGGAGTTTCGAAATCTTTGGAAATTGAAATTGTTTCGTTTGACATGGGGGAAAAAATATTACAGCTTTGTCAGTATTTAAAAAAAAGAATTTTATTTTTATTTTCAAAATCTACAATTATTTATAAGGCCTAGAATTTTATAATTATTTATTTTATATAATTATTACATTATAATGCAATTTTTTTTAAAATAACATTTATGAAAATTATATACAATTGCGTACAATTTAAAATAAATTGAATGAAAATTTTTAAAACTAGGCATTCTGTAATTGTCGCGAATTAATGTTCTCTCGCTCGTTTGGCTAAAAAACGAAACGAAATCCTGTCGTCATTACGTCAACAGCAGTCATTCACTGGAGCAAGCCACTTGACTGCGAGTAATCGTCGACCGATTTCGTATATATATCCACTTGTCACATTATTATTTTCACACACATACACACACACACACACACATGGAATACTTCCAACGTCAATACATTCACGTAACTATAGAATATGTTTGCTTGTTGTTTCAAAGGCCAAATAAACGATGTGCAAATGCATCCAACGTTTATCGTTCGCCCCATGCGCAGCTGGTCTTTCAACGATAAACGAGCGTTTCGCATGAATCGGTTGAAACTTCTAACTACGGTTAGCAGTCACTTTTTCCGGAATTCTCAAATTATTTTTTTTTTACCTTGTTTTTTCATTATTATTGTTTTTTTAAACGCATATGACAAATGCACGATTTCATCCCAACTTATATTTTGATTCATTCATGAATTTTTCCCTCGATTTCTGTTTTTTGTGAATATTATAACAGTATGGTAATAAATATAATATCAGTATAGTAATAAATATAATAACAGTATAGTAATAAATACAATACCAGTATAGTAATAAATATAATAACAGTATATTAATAAATACAATACCAGTATAGTAATAAATATAGTAACAGTATAGTAATAAATACAATACCAGTATAGTAATAAATATAGTAACAGTATAGTAATAGATACAATACCAGTATAGTAATAAATACACTACCAGTATATTAATAAATATAGTAACAGTATAGTAATAAATACAATACCAGTATAGTAATAAATATAATAACAGTATATTAATAAATACAATACCAGTATAGTAATAAATATAGTAACAGTATAGTAATAAATACAATACCAGTATAGTAATAAATATACTACCAGTATATTAATAAATATAGTAACAGTATAGTAATAAATATAGTAACAGTATAGTAATAAATACAATACCAGTATAGTAATAAATATAGTAACAGTATAGTAATAAATACACTACCAGTTTATTAATAAATACAATACCAGTATAGTAATAAATATACTACCAGTATATTAATAAATATAGTAACAGTATAGTAATAAATATAGTAACAGTATAGTAATAAATACACTACCAGTTTATTAATAAATACAATACCAGTATAGTAATAAATATAGTAACAGTATAGTAATAAATATAATAACAGTATATTAATAAATACAATACCAGTATAGTAATAAATACAATACCAGTATGGTAATAAATATAATAACAGTATAGTAATAAATACAATACCAGTATAGTAATATAATAGTAATATAATAACAATAAAAATAATGAAAGTCTCATTAGAATAAAACAAATTATATTCAAATGAATATAAATATAAGAGAAACGATAAAAAAAGCGATTGAAAACGAAATCGGATGATTTCAATTCGAAAGAAACATAAATCAACTAATTCTTCGAAGGCCCCCAGACTTTACTTTTGCTGAAGTAATTTCTCCATCTTCAGTTGAAGTTCCCTGTTTCCTTTCACGGCTTTAGCAAATTCCATGAATATTAAAATGAGCATTAAGATCTTCAAAACGAGACGCAATTCCCTGCCATACTTGTAAATAACCTTGTTTTCCCTCAACGTACACTTAATGAAAATCCACTCAATTAACTTAAAGAAAAGCGTTGCCTTCTTTTAAAAAATAAAAAAAAAACACTTTTTCTCAGAACTCTTTTTTTTTGTAAAATGGAACTAAAATATCTTTTTAAATCAGATAACATTTAAAATTTCTAAATATATGTAAAAACAGTGAAATTTTCCTCAAAGAATTTTTAATTGTATTGAACATACTATTTATTGAAAGAAAAAAAATTTCGTTTCTTTACAGAAAAAAGTGTAATATTAATTAAATTTTAATTAAGCACTCAATTCATTTGTTTCGAAACATTCAAATCAAGAAAAGAATTTTTCACTAAATGTGTTTCATTTCAAAAGGAATGCAATATCAATTAAATTTTAACTACGTGTCAACTCGATTGCTAATTTTTAAACATTCAAATCAAATATTTCTCTGTTCTTTAAAACACACAAAAATTATAAGGTATTAAAATAAGCTGCAACGCTTATTTTAATGCCTTTTAATTTTCCATGAAAGCAATATCAATGAACTTTTTTAATGAATGAGAAAGTACCTATAGAAAAATAGATTTTCCCTTTATTTTTGATTTTCTTCAAAACTTAATCAATAAATTGAAAAATAGTCATTTTAAAAAAAAAAGTCATTTTTATTTGAAAAAAGACTTTTTTTCATTGTTTTTAAATTTAATTTTGCCCATCGAATCCACGACTTTTAAATCCGTTACTAAATCGCAAAATTTCTTTTGGTGTCAATTTAAAAATTGTTCTCTGACTTACCATCCGTAAACTAATTTAAGAACGAATGATATTCTAAGGCACACACACATATATATATATATATATATATATATATATATATATATATATAGTTGGATGAATTAAGTGAAACGAAGAACAGAATCGCTCGAGAGCTCTATTTACCTTAATCCTTTACCGCGCGTTTCCACAGTTTCTATTCAACGATCTTTTAGGCGAACTCTCTTGCACAGGCATTCGAGAACGAAGCTCTTCTCTCAATTAATCGTCTTTGAATTTTCACTTTATAGCAGGAAAAGTCGAATGAGAGACAGGTGGTAATTCGTAACGTCACCCATGCCCTCACTGTGAACTTTAGCTGCGAGGTCACCGCAGATACAACATTCACAACTGTAAAGGCATCCAAAAAACTTCTTGTTGTCAGTGAGTAATATTTTAATTTTTATATTCTAGACAATAAAAAAAATTCATAGCCTTATACATTATTTATAATTACAAGTTAATTTAATCTTCATTACGATTTTTGAAATTTTTAACGATTTACATTTTCGTTTCTGACTAAAGTCGTTTTTTACTACTTGTATTATTTCGACGCTTTGTCTAACTGAAACTTTCTTTTACTACTTACTAAAATATGCATAACTAGTTGTCTGACCAAAATTAAAATTTACTACTAATAACGAAATTTCAATTATTTAATACATGTCTGACTAAAACTGTCTTTTACTACTTATTAAAATATTCATAACTGTTTGTCTGACCAAAGCTAAATTTTACTACTAATAACGAAATTCCTATTATTTAAAACGTCTCGTCTGACTATAACCGACGTGTACTACTTTTTCCTTTCCAACTTTTTGAGGGGCGAAAAAAATTCTTTTCCCTTGAAAAAAAAATTAATCAACTATAATTGAAAACTTGGACAAATAATAAAAATAGATCATATCAAATTTTCCTTTAATAGTTTATTGATTTTGCATGAGCTCTACTTTTTATTTATCTTATTTTTTAATTATATTTACTTTCATTTTATTAACTTCACATTCTTCTTTTTCATCATCTTCAACTTTTTCTTCTTTGTCTTCTATTTTACGAGATTAAATGTTTGCTTAGGAGCGAATTTATTATTGTATATATATATATATAAATGAAAAATATTTTTATTAAAAATTTTTCAATTTTAAATTGTTATTTAAGATTACAAAATACTTTTCAAAATTGATTAGATAATAAAATAATTTTAAGAAATTAATTATGCATAAAGTTTGTTTATTATGGTTGAAAATTTTTTTTTCTCTTTTGATATTGTGTGTATAACTGTTGTCTTTTGTAAAAGTTAAAATAAAAAAAGTTTTATACCGTGAGTCATGTTTATAAAAAGAATTAGACAACTTTTGTCTTTTTTACGGTTCATTTGCATATTAAAATCTGTGAAAACCTTTTATATATATATAGACTGAGAGAGAGAGAGGCTCAAGTTTTCTCGCACAAAAGTTTTCTTTAGTTACAAACTTTCTTGTTGACCAATTTTTTAATTAAACCAAATATTTCGTTTCTCTCAAAATACACGAATATATCAGCTTCTTTTACGAAACGTTTTATTTGCATATGATGTTAATTAAAAACTTTTTTTCCACAATTAATAATTTATTTTTCAACTTAATTTTTGATTTTAATATTTAATTTTCCCTTACAATTTTGCATTTTTTTTTTCAGTAAATTATGTTTAAAATTTTTTTTGGTTTTGAAAATTTTTATTTATTATTTTCATGGAAATTCTAGTTTAAAATATTCAGTGACGAGAAAGTATAACGGGAAAGCTTTTAAAATATTGTACTTATAAAAATGAACTTTAGAAGTTGACAAGCTTTCAAGTTATTTATCTACATCAACCCCTAAGAACCTTTTGAAATTACAAACAAACTGTATATAATAAAAAAGTTCGTCCCTTTGAACTGCGTTAAAAATTTTTTTACAAATTCATTAAATTATTCAAATTTAAATAGTTGAAAAGCTTCTCAATGTAGGTAAATCTGATACATGAGCTTGATGATAGAAAAAATCAATTTTAATTATTTAATTTAACACCCAATTATTAAATGTTTTCCTTCTAAAATATTACTTTTCTAATTTTAAATTTTCTTTCTTTTTATTTTAATTTATTATTTAAATTATTTTTTTCAAATTTTCTACAATATTTTATTCTAATAATATTTATATATTTTTTTTTTCGTAAAATATGCATGATTTTCTTATTTCTGAAATTTCGTTGACAATCTCATTATTTTTTGAATCCGCCAATGTCTCAGGTTTATAGACTATATCTATATTGTATATATAAAGAAAAAAAAAGTTAATCTAAAAATATGTATTCGTAAATTTGGAATATCCTTCCTTCGGAATATAGTATTTGTATTTTTTTTTTTTTGCTTTTTATAAATATTTACTTATCTACGTATGACATCGAAGGTCAGATTACATGTTTCTCGTTATATGGCATATATATCAAAAAAACTGAAAGACAATTTCAAAGTTTCCTTAAGGCGACAAGGTCGACATGTTCTTTCAGTATCTTTGAGAATACTATATATATATACATGTACGTTAGCTTTTTCTTGCATACTTATTCCCTGATCTTTTGCGAATCCGCTGAAAAGTTATCTCGACAGTCTTGCTCCTTTCCATTCTACCAGATTATCCTCTCCTAAGATTTATTATCATCCCAGCATTAGATATTATAGTCATATTTTGAAACATTGACTTCAGAAATTCAATTTTAAATTTCACTCACAATTTAACCCTTTGGATTATTGCATGAAAAGAAAATCTAATTCAAAAATATTTCATTTCGTAGAACAATCTTCAAAGGGGAATTTTTTAAATATTAAAATAAAAATTTTTCTTTCACATTTTTTTTCAAATATTTCACCATATATTTAATAAAAAAAAAATTTTAATATTTTAAAAGTAGAGGGGAAAATATCAAAGACATTATTTTAGAGATAAAACTTAAAAATTGAAATTAAAACAATATTTTATAATTGACCACATATTGTTAGCTTAAAAGGATATAATTTTATTTTCTATATATATATACATTTAGATCTTATTTTTATTCATCTCGGAGGTATTTTCATTATATACACGACACTGTATATTCTCTTTTTTTTCTTGATTACACAAGAATCTTTTATACGACGTAGAAATAACTTCCTTGGCGAACGGAATATGAATTTCATATTTTACGATAATAGAGAGCGAAGAGTGATCGCAAGGCTGATGCCTTCACGGATATTTCAACGGTAAACCAAGCCTTCTAAAAGTCTTTTCTCTGACGTTATCGAACGTTGGAAAACTCAATTCTTGTACACATGACGGTCTCTTATAGTTCCGAGTTTTATATTTTTTCGAAAATCTTTACCCACATCGTCGAATAATAGAATCGATCGTCATTTTTTTTTCTTCCTTTTTTTTTTTTGATGTATTATTATAGACGACATGAAAACCATCTCTGACTTTGAATCATTGTTTGTTAAAAGGTCTTTTTACAATTTTAAAAATATACTCTCATTTATCATTATCAGTCTTTTATATAATATAAAAATAATAGATTTTTAAAATAATTTTTTAATTTGTATATTTGATTTTAAAGTCATATCGAGGCAAATGGAGAAAATAATTTTTATTAAACATTTTCCATAAATGTTGAATTCAATTTGAAAATTAATTCTAATTTGTCGACAGCTCTCATCAACTATTTTAAACAATTTACTCTTTGGTGAAATAAATTCCCTTTTACAAAAGTTATTAAATTCTGGAACATTACACTCTAAAGTATTAATTATATGGGTTTTATCTTTTTGATGCTTATCGATATTTTTATAAATAGCAAATCCAGTAACAAAGAGGTAATTGTTAATTCATTAATTAACAATATCGACTATTATACAGGTATTCAAACTTTTTAATTGCGAATATTCTTGTTAGTTTTTTTTTTAATTAACAAAGGTGTATTGTTGCTATAAATATTATGAAAAAAATATAGGTAAATAATTGAGGAACAATTTTTCAAGACCTGATAAATCCATTTTTGAAATTTATTTTAAATATGATTTTTATAACAGATATAACAAATTATAACAGATAATTTATAAATAAATATATTTCTGACTAGAATTGACTTTTACCACAAGTTCAAGTATATTTACAAGGAGTAAAAGAGTTCTGTCTGACTAAAATCGGCTCTTACCACTGATTTTTTAAATGAATTAAAATATTTCTATTTGACTAAACTGACTTTGACTACTGATATTTAATATTTCTGAAATTAAAAACATCAAGATTTCACATATTTTGTTTGATTACATATTGTAAAATTTTCTTATCAAATGAAATGAAAGAAAATATTACTTACTTAATGCAAAATAAAAAGTTAAAATTTTTTTCAACATTTCATTACGATAAGAGTGTTATTTGTTAAATCTCGCAGCAGGCTGCAAAGCACCGATACGTAAAATGTAGTAAAGCGAGCCATGAATTCCCCCAGGGATGGACTACTTCGCGTGAAAATTGGATAAGGTTCCTTGGGTAAAGTGGAAAACGGTTTGATTATTATGTGGATTGAGGGAGTCTGCGTGTGTGTGAAAGAGAGAAAGTAAATATGTGTTACTCTCAAGTTCCGATGGGTTTAAGAGCTCCCAAAATTATTATGTTTCAGCTCTACCTAAGGGTAAGCCCGTTATCGTATCGGAACGCGATCGTTACGACCCTGGGGATATCCTGAAAGCAAATTGCAGTTCACCACCCTCCAAGCCGCCATCACGTCTCTTTTTCACGATTAACAATAAACCGGTAAGTAAACACATGACATTATAACTAAAATTCCATTTTATATCACACATCGTTTTCTCACAATCATATTCAAATTTCCAAAATACATTTAAAAACGTTGTTTATTCTTTTCAAGAAATTAAATCACATGAATTTACAAAATCGAAAATTTTTCAAAAAATTACTTTCATTTTGACCTAGCTCAGCATCCGCTGGACCAATCAAAAAGTGCGCCATACATTTTTTGTTCGACACTTATTGCTCAATTTTTTGGCATTATTCCCGAGACATTATCTCGAAAATTTTATTTTCCGAAAATTTTTCCCACAATTTTTGAGTGTTGCTTAGCATCCGCTGGACCAATCAAAAAGTGCCCCATACATTTTTTGTTCGCTACTTTTTGCTAAAGACAGTTATGGCATTCCGGAGCGATTATCTCCAAAATTTAATTTTCCAAATTTTTTCCGAAATTGATTTCAGTGTAGCTCAGCATCCGCTGGACCAATCAAAAAGTGCCCCATACATTTTTTGTTCGCTACTTTTTGCTAAAGACAGTTATGGCATTCCGGAGCGATTATCTCAAAAATTTAATTTTTTAAAATTTTTTCCGAAATTGATTTCAGTGTAGCTCAGCATCCGCTGGTCCAATCAAAAAGTGCCCCATACATTTTTTATTCAGAACTTTATTCTAACTACTTTGGGGATATTTCGGAGCGATTATCTCAAAAATTTAATTTCTCATAATTTTTTCCGAAATTGATTTCAGTGTAGCTCAGCATCCGCTGGACCAATCAAAAAGTGCCCCATACATTTTTTGTTCGCTACTTTTTGCTAAAGACAGTTATAGCATTTCGGAGGGATTATCTCAAAAATTTAATTTTTCAAAATTTTTTCCGAAATTGATTTCAGTGTAGCTCAGCATCCGCAGGACCAATCAAAAAGTGTGCCATACATTTTTTGTTCGAAACTTTTTCCCTATTTTATTGGTGGTATTCCGGAGCAGTTATCTCGCAAATTTAATTTTTCGAAAATATTTCGGAACTTTATTTGACTGTAGCTCAGCATCCGCTGGACCAATCAAAAAGTGCCCCATACATTTTTTGTTCGAAACTTTTTCCCTATTTTATTGGTGGTATTCCCGAACGATTATCTCGCGAATTTAATTTTTTGTAATTTTTTCCAAATTTGTTTTTTACTGTAGCTCAGCATCCGCTGGACCAATCAAAAAGTGCCCCATACATTTTTTGTTCGCTACTTTTTGCTAAAGACAGTTATGGCATTCCGGAGCGATTATCTCAAAAATTTAATTTTTCAAAATTTTTTCCGAAATTGATTTCAGTGTAGCTCAGCATCCGCTGGACCAATCAAAAAGTGCCCCACACATTTTTTGTTCGAAACTTTTTCCCTATTTTATTGGTGGTATTCCCGAACGATTATCTCGCGAATTTAATTTTTTGTAATTTTTTCCAAATTTGTTTTTTACTGTAGCTCAGCATCCGCTGGACCAATCAAAAAGTGCCCCATACATTTTTTGTTCGCTACTTTTTGCTAAAGACAGTTATGGCATTCCGGAGCGATTATCTCAAAAATTTAATTTTTTAAAATTTTTTCCGAAATTGATTTCAGTGTAGCTCAGCATCCGCTGGTCCAATCAAAAAGTGCCCCATACATTTTTTATTCAGAACTTTATTCTAACTACTTTGGGGATATTTCGGAGCGATTATCTCAAAAATTTAATTTCTCATAATTTTTTCCGAAATTGATTTCAGTGTAGCTCAGCATCCGCTGGACCAATCAAAAAGTGCCCCATACATTTTTTGTTCGAAACTTTTTCCCTATTTTATTGGTGGTATTCCCGAACGATTATCTCGCGAATTTAATTTTTTGTAATTTTTTCCAAATTTGTTTTTTACTGTAGCTCAGCATCCGCTGGACCAATCAAAAAGTGCCCCACACATTTTTTGTTCGAAACTTTTTCCCTATTTTATTGGTGGTATTCCCGAACGATTATCTCGCGAATTTAATTTTTTGTAATTTTTTCCAAATTTGTTTTTTACTGTAGCTCAGCATCCGCTGGACCAATCAAAAAGTGCCCCATACATTTTTTGTTCGCTACTTTTTCTAAAGACAGTTATGGCATTCCGGAGCGATTATCTCAAAAATTTAATTTTTCAAAATTTTTTCCGAAATTGATTTCAGTGTAGCTCAGCATCCGCAGGACCAATCAAAAAGTGTGCCATACATTTTTTGTTCGAAACTTTTTCCCTATTTTATTGGTGGTATTCCGGAGCAGTTATCTCGCAAATTTAATTTTTCGAAAATATTTCGGAACTTTATTTGACTGTAGCTCAGCATCCGCTGGACCAATCAAAAAGTGCCCCATACATTTTTTGTTCGAAACTTTTTCCCTATTTTATTGGTGGTATTCCCGAACGATTATCTCGCGAATTTAATTTTTTGTAATTTTTTCCAAATTTGTTTTTTACTGTAGCTCAGCATCCGCTGGACCAATCAAAAAGTGCCCCATACATTTTTTGTTCGCTACTTTTTGCTAAAGACAGTTATGGCATTCCGGAGCGATTATCTCAAAAATTTAATTTTTCAAAATTTTTTCCGAAATTGATTTCAGTGTAGCTCAGCATCCGCTGGACCAATCAAAAAGTGCCCCACACATTTTTTGTTCGAAACTTTTTCCCTATTTTATTGGTGGTATTCCCGAACGATTATCTCGCGAATTTAATTTTTTGTAATTTTTTCCAAATTTGTTTTTTACTGTAGCTCAGCATCCGCTGGACCAATCAAAAAGTGCCCCATACATTTTTTGTTCGCTACTTTTTGCTAAAGACAGTTATGGCATTCCGGAGCGATTATCTCAAAAATTTAATTTTTTAAAATTTTTTCCGAAATTGATTTCAGTGTAGCTCAGCATCCGCTGGTCCAATCAAAAAGTGCCCCATACATTTTTTATTCAGAACTTTATTCTAACTACTTTGGGGATATTTCGGAGCGATTATCTCAAAAATTTAATTTTTCATAATTTTTTCCGAAATTGATTTCAGTGTAGCTCAGCATCCGCTGGACCAATCAAAAAGTGCCCCATACATTTTTTGTTCGCTACTTTTTGCTAAAGACAGTTATGGCATTCCGGAGCGATTATCTCAAAAATTTAATTTTTCAAAATTTTTTCCGAAATTGATTTCAGTGTAGCTCAGCATCCGCTGGACCAATCAAAAAGTGCCCCATACATTTTTTGTTCGAAACTTTTTCCCTATTTTATTGGTGGTATTCCCGACCGATAATCTCGCAAATTTAATTTTTTGTAATTTTTTTTAAAATTGTTTTTTACTGTAGCTCAGCATCCGCTGGACCAATCAAAAAGTGCCCCATACATTTTTTGTTCGCTACTTTTTGCTAAAGACAGTTATGGCATTCCGGAGCGATTATCTCAAAAATTTAATTTTTCAAAATTTTTTCCGAAATTGATTTCAGTGTAGCTCAGCATCCGCTGGACCAATCAAAAAGTGCCCCATACATTTTTTATTGAGAACTTTATTCTAACTACTTTGGGGATATTTTGGAGCGATTATCTCAAAAATTTAATTTTTCATAATTTTTTCCGAAATTGATTTGAGTATAGCTCAGCATCCGCTGGACCAATCAAAAAGTGTGCCATACATTTTTTGTTCGAAACTTTTTCCCTATTTTATTGGTGGTATTCCCGACCGATAATCTCGCAAATTTAATTTTTTGTAATTTTTTCCAAATTTGTTTTTTACTGTAGCTCAGCATCCGCTGGACCAATCAAAAAGTGCCCCACACATTTTTTGTTCGAAACTTTTTCCCTATTTTATTGGTGGTATTCCCGACCGATAATCTCGCAAATTTAATTTTTTGTAATATTTTCCAAATTTGTTTTTTACTGTAGCTCAGCATCCGCTGGACCAATCAAAAAGTGCCCCATACATTTTTTGCTCGCTACTTTTTGCTAAAGACAGTTATGGCATTCCGGAGCGATTATCTCAAAAATTTAATTTTTCAAAATTTTTTCCGAAATTGATTTCAGTGTAGCTCAGCATCCGCTGGACCAATCAAAAAGTGCCCCATACATTTTTTGTTCGCTACTTTTTACTAAAGACAGTTATGACATTCCGGAGCGATTATCTCAAAAATTTAATTTTTCAAAATTTTTTCCGAAATTGATTTCAGTGTAGCTCAGCATCCGCTGGACCAATCAAAAAGTGCCACATACATTTTTTATTCAGAACTTTCTTCTAACTACTTTGGGGATATTTCGGAGCGATTATCTCAAAAATTTAATTTTTCATAATTTTTTCCGAAATTGATTTGAGTGTAGCTCAGCATCCGCTGGACCAATCAAAAAGTGTGCCATACATTTTTTGTTCGAAACTTTTTCCCTATTTTATTGGTGGTATTCCCGACCGATAATCTCGCAAATTTAATTTTTTGTAATTTTTTCCAAATTTGTTTTTTACTGTAGCTCAGTATCCGCTGGACCAATCAAAAAGTGCCCCATACATTTTTTGTTCGCTACTTTTTGCTAAAGACAGTTATGGCATTCCGGAGCGATTATCTCAAAAATTTAATTTTTCAAAATTTTTTCCGAAATTGATTTCAGTGTAGCTCAGCATCCGCTGGACCAATCAAAAAGTGCCCCACACATTTTTTGTTCGAAACTTTTTCCCTATTTTATTGGTGGTATTCCCGAACGATTATCTCGCGAATTTAATTTTTTGTAATTTTTTCCAAATTTGTTTTTTACTGTAGCTCAGCATCCGCTGGACCAATCAAAAAGTGCCCCATACATTTTTTGTTCGCTACTTTTTGCTAAAGACAGTTATGGCATTCCGGAGCGATTATCTCAAAAATTTAATTTTTTAAAATTTTTTCCGAAATTGATTTCAGTGTAGCTCAGCATCCGCTGGTCCAATCAAAAAGTGCCCCATACATTTTTTATTCAGAACTTTATTCTAACTACTTTGGGGATATTTCGGAGCGATTAT